CATCCCAAAGAAAAGGAAATGCAAGAAAGCAAAGTGGCTGTCCTACGAGGCCTTACAAATAGCAGAGAAGAGAAGGGAAACAAAATGCAAAGGAGATAGGGAAAGTTACAGAAAATTGAACACAGACTTCCAAAGAAAAGCAGGGAGAGACAAGAGGGCCTTCTTAAATGAACAATGCAAAGAAAGAGAGGAAAATAATAGAAAAGGAAAAAACTGAGATCTGTGCAGGAAAATTGGAGATATTAAAGGAAAATTTTGTGCAAAGATGAACATTATAAAGGGCAAAAATGGTAGGGACCTAACAGAAGCAGAAGACATCAAAAAGAGGTGGCAAGAATACATAGAGGAAATATACCAGAAAGATTTGGATGTCCCGGACAACCCAGATAATGTGGTTGCTGACCTTGAGCCAGACATCCTGGACAGTGAAGTCAAGTGGGCCTTAGAAAACAAGGCTAACAACAAGGCCAGTGGAGGTGATGGCATTCCAGTTGAACTATTTAAAATCTTAAAAGATGACGTTGTTAAGGTGCTACGCTCAATATCCCAGCGAGTTTGGAAAACTCAGCAGTGGCCAGAGGATTGGAAAAGATCAGTCTACATCCCAATCCCAAAGAAAAGCAGTGCCAAAGAATGTTCCAACTACCATACAATTGCACTCATTTCATATGCTAGCAAGGTTATTCTCAAAATCCTCCAAAGTGGGCTTCAGCAGTATGTGGACCAAGAACTCCCAGAAGTACAAAATTGATTTCGAATGGGCAGAGGAACTAGAGACCAAATTGCTAACATGTGTTGGATTATGGAAAAAGCCAGAGTGCTCCAGAAAAACATCTGCTTCATTGACTATGCTAAAGCCTTTGACTGTGTGGACCACAGCTAACTATGGCAAGTCCTTAAAGAAATGGGAGTGCCTGACCACCTTATTCATCTCCAGAGAAACCTATACGTGGGACAGGACGCAACAGTTAGAACTAGATATGGAACAACTGATTGGTTCAAAATTGGGAAAGGTGTACAACAAGGCTTTATATTATCTCCCTGTTTATTTAATTTATATGTAGAAAACACCATACAAAATGTGGGAGGAATCCCAAACTGGAATTAAGATTGCTGGAAGAAATACCAACAACCTCCGTTATACAGATGATACCACTCTAATGGAATAAAGTGAGGAGGAATTAAAGTACTCTTAAAGAGGGTGAAATAGGAGAGTACAAAAAATGGCCTGAAGCTCAACCTAAAAAAAAAACTAAGATCTTGGCCACTGCTCCCATCACCTCTTGGCAAGTAGAAGGGGAAGATATGGAGGCAGTGACTAAACAACAACAAAAATCATTAGGTATAGAAATTTTGGTCTCTTTTTGGGGCTAAGTCAATTTAAATTCTTGTCAATCCCAACAAGTAAATCTAGGTTTTGTATGATACCATTGAAATTTGGATTGACTGGCTATCTTTCAGTGTAAATTTTTTGAATACTTTTAAAAATTCTATTTTCCTGAAAATTCAAATTTAATTCTTTTAAATGTGTAAAATTTTAGAAAATGTACAATTGCACCATGTTGTATATCAAATGAAATCCCTATTCTTATGCTTTAAAATGACACTTGTCCCGGTTCTATGGTGGCTAGTGAATTTTGGCAATTTTTTGCAATTTTGAAAATGCAGTATCTCAGAAATGGATGGATCAAAAAATCTGAAAAAAATATTTTTAAAACATCTCATGGAAAGGTACAAATATACCAAAAATGAACCAAATCCATCATATCAAGTTCCAAAATGGATTTTTCATTGGTTGATTTGACATGGAATGACCCTGTTTACCTTTCCTGTACTGGAAGAACAGTCTTTTTCTTTACTATATTGTATAATAATTGGGGGGAAAGGTGCAGTCATTCTCTCAAAAGGATGTTTTCTTGCATCACACAAGCAAAGAGCCTCACTGGCCAGTAATGGAAACAAAATGGGAGTGACTTCCCAGACAGTGGCTGATCACCACTAATTAAAGCATTCCCGTTTCCATTTCAGGTAGCATGCAACTTTATTTCATTCAGTGAAAATCATGTGCAGCTCAAAATTAATGCACAAACTCTTTAATTAGCAACAATCTGCCATTGCCAAGGATGTCACTCCCACTGCACCAGTGGAGTTAGGAACAAAATACTGGCCGCCATGGGAAATCAAGTGCAGTGTTATCACAGCAACAGGTTCAAGTCTAACATGCTACAGCCTTACGTGCTGTTGGGGTAAAGGAGACAGGACGAGGTCCACCAGGGTTCACAGGTGGCAGCGGCGGCATGCTGGATGGAGAAGATCTTGACTGAATCTTTACTTCTACAGGGGATCCTGGCATTACTGGCACCCTCTTCTCACTAGCAACTGAAATGTAAAGAAGAAGAAAGGAATTGTAAAAAGGTATAAAGTAAAAACTCTCTCTGAAACTGATATAATGGCGAGGACTCGGCAAAAATACAAAAGGAGGAAAGGAGGAAAAATGCAAGCCTAATGATGATCCTTACCCATTACATAAAGCTTCACTGTGCTCAAAGCACTCCATATACATTATCTCAGTAGTCCTTACAAGAACAACCCTTTTATCTCCATGGGGAAGCTCCGTGTGGCCTAAAGCCAAATAGCAAGTTCACGGCAGATGTGAACTGGGGAATATCTGATTAGACACTGTGTTATATTCAAAGATAGGAAAGCTAGTAGAAAAAGGTTAACAGCTTAATTAACTGTGAGCAACCTCAGCAAATGTCTCAATAAGAATTAAAAGTTAACTACTGCTAACTTTTGGTAACAAGTTCCCCTTTTTAGGTTGTATTAGGTCATCATGCATGTACAGTGGTGCCTCGCATAGCGACGTTAATCCGTGCAGCAAAAATAGCTGCTAAGCGATTTCGTCGCTATGCGATTTTTAAAAGCCCATAGAAACGCATTAAAACCTGTTTAATGCGTTCCTATGGGCAAAAAACTGACATTAAAGCGAAGATCCTCCATACGGCGGCCATTTTCGCTGCCTCTTAAGCGAGGAATCGGCGCGAAAACACAGCGGGCGGCCATTTTTTTTACCCGGTGGCCATTTTGGAACCGCTGATCAGCTGTTTTAAAATCATTGCTTTGCGATGATCGGTAAGCGAAACAGGGAACCGATCATCGCAAAGCGATAAAACCCCAATGGAAACATTGCAATGTGAATGCTTTTGCGATCACAAAGTTAATCGCTATGCGGTTTCGTCGCTAAACGGAGCGCCCGTTAAGCGAGGCACCACTGTATGTGCAACTCCTGAATGCTACTGATAGTCACTTTACCACATTGATTTTAGACATTAAGCATAAAATATTTTACACTGAATGCCTGAAATTAGTGTAGCTAAGTTGACATTGAGCAACATGCATCAGATCCACACATACATCCATGGTGACCTAACACAACCAAGATGGGAAACTTGTTATTTTAACATTGGTTAAAAGCAGCATTTTAATGTGCTAAAATTAAAAAGGAACTTTAGATCAATAACTTTCTTCAGTGTGCAAGGATTCCTTTCTATGATCTTGCAGTCTATATACTCCATACCACCTCTAGCATCCTAATGACTGCCTATTAATTCAATAAATAAATAAATGGGCACCTGTTTCATCGAATTATTTCATGAGCAATCTGGGACTGTGCCCTAGCATTTCTTTCCCAAACATATTGACAGATTTCCAACACATCCATCTGTGTCCCAGATCCCACCCACCCCCAATCACACTCCTTTTGTTCAGGGGGAGAAAACCAGGGATGGAAAGAACTGACAGTTGTCTTTCACTTCTGCATGTTGTGCACAGAGTGTGAAACCCCAAAGGGAGTCCTCACTTCAGACCACCTGCTTTTTCTGCATTTGGTGCCAAGAGGCCTGGAGGAGCTCTTAACAGTTAGACACATTGCAAGCAACCTTCAGCACTTGGCATAATGTTGGGATATGGCACAGCTCACCAGCAGGCATGCTGAAAAAAACTACTCTGAAGTTAGATGGAAAACTCCAGATTCCCTCTCCTGACAAGCATAAGCAGCATCTATGCCTCCAGGAAAATACTGAAATAATCTTCTATGAAAGAACATATAGGCTAAATAGAAGAACAATGTGAATGATGAAAAATAAATAAAATAGACATGAGATATTTGATTAAATTTTTCTAGCACTGGAAATTTAGAGTTTCTATTAGACTACAAATAAGCCATCACTTACTCAATAAACATAAAAAACAAAAGACCTTCTCTCATATTGCAAGCCAGTGCACATTTGCACATTGTTGCTGCTGCTTCATAACATTCAAACCAGAAGTCCATTCAGTGAGCATCACCACAGAGTTGTCCTGTAACTCCACTGTGCTATATTTAACCTACTATGCTGTCAAACTGACAAGTTGATTCCAACTTATGGGAACTCTAGTGGGGTTTTCAAGGTATATGAAATATTAAGGAATCATTTTACCATAGCTACATCCCCTCTAAGTTTCCATGGCTGAGTGGGTGTTTGAATCTAGGTCTCCTGAATCATAATCTGGCAACCTATTCACTATATTATATAGTAACTCACTAAGTGATGGAATACAGAACTCGCTTTCAGATTTCACTACTGCAAGACATTGATAGTGGCTATCAGCTGAGAATGGCTTTCCAAAAACTGTGAGAATAGTTTTATCAGGAACTAAAAAGATATTCCATAATTATCTAGAATCCATAGCTACATAAAGGAACATGCAATTTCCCATCATGCTTTGTTAGCTACTTCAAGGCCATTCTTCTGCATTCAGCATTAGCATGAGGTATGGGGATGTCAACATGTGTGCTATTTATCTTTTTGGTCAGAACACTGGAATATACCGGACACCAGAGAAACTGGCAAAAGTGAAGAAAAATGAGAAAGATATATGTTGATGTAAAACAACAAAAGGAACATTATATCATATGTGGTGGGGATGCAAATCTATTACGAAATTTTGGAAAGAAATAGAAAAAATAATTACCATAGATTTAAAAATAATGATGAGAATGAATTAATTGTTAAATATATTTGTTAAATACGGTAAAGTTAAACTCGAAACAAAAGACAACATTTTGTTTATACATATTAGAAGCAGCCAGAATTGACATGGTAAAACAATGGAAAGACAAGGAGGAACCTTCGGTGGAGGACTGTATAATAAAAGGAAAGAGTAGAATGGAGCACGAATCTCAGTGGGGGGAAAGTAAAAAGTTATCTTAGAGAGAAATGGAAGAAAGATCCCAAACCTTTACCAAGTGATTCAGGCATAAATTAGACGCAGAACTGCTCTCAACATTAATAGAGGTAAAAAATAAAATAAAGCAGATTGTTAACATAGATATAAAATAAGAATTAAGAAAGGTATTACTAAGATTATGAAGAAAATAAATCTGGTGGAAAATAAGGAAGATGTTAAAGACTTACTATTTGGCGTAAGAGATAACAGAAAGTTATCTTGGTTATGTGCTTACACTGTGATAATTATTTACTTTGATATTTCTTTTTTTTAAATGGAAATAAAGTTTTAAAAAAACAACAACAACAAAACACAGCACTGGAATATACCAAGGTATGTACCATCACTGGCTATGCCTTTTCTAGGGTAAAAACTGGTTTATTACAGATTTAATGTATTTATGGCCTGATCTTAGGAATGCACATTTGACAATTCCACCCACACTTCTTGTTGATGTTATGTGATATTAAGTTGCTCTCGACTCATAACAACTCTATGAATGAGCAATCTCCAAAATGTCCTGTCCTCAACTGCCCTGCTCTGCTCTTGTAAACTTAAGTCTAGAACTTTAGAGAATCAGTCCATCTTGTATTTGGTCGTTCTCTTTTCCTGTTACCTTCCACCTTTCCCAGCATTATTGTCTTTTCCAGAGAATCCTGCTTCTCATTATATGCCCAAAGTACGACAGCTTCAGTTTAAACATTTCTGTCTCCAGAAACAGCTCATTCTTGATCTAGGACCCACTTGCTAGTCTTTCTGGCAGTCCAGGGCATCCACAAAGCTCTCCTCCAGCATCATATTTCAAATTAATCATTTCTTCCCCATCAGCATTCTTAACTATCCAACTTTCACACCCACCATAGATTGTAATTGAAAATATGACAGTGTGGATGATCTTGGTCTTGGGCTCCAATGATACATCCCTACAACTGATTATCTTTTCTAGTTCCTTTGAGGGTGGAGTTGATTTAAATCACTAGTCAGTAAGACTCAATTTAAATTATGATTTTTAAATGCAAATAATTAGTCTTGCTGGTAGTTATTATTTTAATATTTGTAACCAGATGAAGATTTCATATTTAGAATAATAACCTATCAGAAGAGTAAAACAGCTATATCAGAACTGATCGATTTTAGTTTAATAGTTTAATATTCGGAAAACTACTTAAACTGTTTTATTTAACTAAAACAACAACATTATATTGCGTACATGTTCTTGTACAGTGGTGCCCTGCATGACGACGATAATCGAGTCCGGGAAAATCACTGTTAAGCGAAATCGTCATGCAAAAAGCCTTTCCCCATTGGAATGCATTGAAACCCATTTAATGTGCTCCAATGGGGAAAATACCTCGTTGTCCAGCGAAGATTGTCCATAGGGAAGCCATTTTGCGAGCGCCAATCAGCTGTTAAAATGGCTGCCCTGCGAAGCATGGGTCCGGAAAACACAGGGCAGCCATTTTAGGAAGCCGATGATCGTCGGAAAAAATCGTCGTCTTGCAAATAAACAGTCTGTGAAACACGGACCAAATAATCGTCAAGCGGAATTCCCCCATAGGAATGACTGTTCTGCGAATCGCTATAGCAATCGCAAAAAGTCATCGTCATGCAGTGTTGTCATACAGCAGGGTCGTCGTCTAGCGAGGTACCACTTATTTGCTTAAACACCTGAAATGGTTAAACAAAATATATTTTTGAAACGCAAACTATCTTCCAACCAATCTTCAAACCTAGCATAAGAACTTCCCTATCCATGGAATCAGAATCCACTGATTCACTTATCTGCTGCCTAGAAATACTAAATAACCCCCAGAATACGTATTTTATATGTATTTCCAGGGTGTATTTACCAAAAAAAAGGCTCTAAAGACCATGCAATATATAGTGTTTGCTACTTTTTTGGCATCCGGGGAGGCTTGGAACAATTCCTCATGGATACTGCAGTAGTCCTACTGTAATGTGTCCACTGTTTGTACACAGATTTGCAGAACAACAATTGGATTAAGGTCGTTTCCTGAGCTTTATTTTATGTAATTTTTACTATGAAAAAGTTAATGTTATCTCAGCTTGGATAACTCTGATTAATTGAATTAATTTACCAAAAATATAAG